TTTTTTTTTGTGAGGAAGATCAGCCCTGAGCTAACATCCGTGCTAATCCTCCTCTTTTTGCTGAGGAAGACCGGCTCTGAGCTAACATCCACTGCCAATCCTCCTCCTTTTTATCCCCAAAGCCCCAGTAGATAGTTGTATGTGATAGTTGCACATCCTTCTAGTTGCTGTACGTGGGACGCAGCCTCAGCATGGCCGGAGAAGCGGTGCGTCGGTGCGCGCCCGGGATCCGAACCTGGGCCGCCAGCAGCGGAGCGCACACACTTAACTGCTAAGCCACGGGGCCGGCCCTGTCCTCAGTTTCTTACTACATCAAAGCTCCTTGAGAGTGGGGATCATGTAGCACAATTTGCTGAAGGTGGCAAATACAGTGTGCTCCAACAATGTGTGTTGTATACAAGAATAAATGGCACCCTGGTTTCTGTGTATCCCAGGCAGTTCCAGAATTTGGAGAGGTGCTGAGAGATGTGAGGTTTGTGGAGGGGAAGAATGGACACGCTAAAAGTCAGGGCAGCTCTCAGTCCCCCAGTGAGCTGGTGGCTGTGGTGCTCCAGCCACCTGTGGAACTTGCGATGACTGTGTAGGCTCCTGTTGGCACTTGTTTTGTTCAATACACAGTGACAAAGGCTCTGCGTGAGCCTCATCCACAGCCCTCAGGAAACCTTGGACTAGTAACTATTCTATCACCTCCCATATTCGTTCCTTGGGAGTCTCAGGGCAGGCTTGCATTGGTAAAGCGATTTCTGAGCATTTCCTCTCCTTGAGACATTCTGCTGACATCCAGACCACCATGATTACATTGATGTTCCAAGCTCTGATCTCAGCCCCATTGCGATGAAATTCACAAGACATTTACTGTGCCCTGTGTGGTTTTTTTTATTAGTTGACCGAGGCCAGATATAGCATAAGTAAATAAGTTCCTGGTTTAGTATTTTAGCTCTCCCATGTCAGATCCTGCCAGGAGAGGGGAAAAAAGCCAAGGAAGAAGCTATCATACCATAATTATTTTCAATCTAAAACACAACAGGCACCTTCACTGGCAGGCATAGTTCCCTCGTTCTTTCTCCCTTTGCCTCTATGATGATGCTGATCTGAGCAGAATCAGGATATCACCGTCAATGGGGATGGGCATGAAAAACCTGCAGAGAGATTCAGAGGGCCGTCCTGGAAGCCAAGGTCAGAGATTCTGTGCTCTCAGCCACCTCTCCATGGGAACATTTTGTCAATATTCCCACTGTACCTGTTCTTTCCTCGGTACCATCACTGCTAGAACCCTGGAGCAGAGCACCTTCCTTATCAAAAAAAGTCTTGGACTGCTAGTGGGTACAGGAACTTTTGGGGCTGACGAGAATGTTCTGGAATTAGAGTGGTGATGGTTGCATAACTTTGTGAATATTTTAAAAACCACTGAATTGTATACTTTGAAAGTGTAAATTTTATGGTATGTGAATTATATCTCAATTTTAAAAGAAGTCACGGAATACTAAGACCTTGCGCGAAAAATTAAAATACTGCAGCTCAAAAACTCCTACAAGACAATATGGACTTCCTACTCAAGGGCTTCCTCACAATGTGTGTGTTTGAAGGTCAGGTCATCTGGGGTGCATGTTGGAGGCGGAAGGGATCTGATGGAAGTTCATCCATCTTAGTCCCTGTTCTGTGTCAGGCTGGGGTGAGCTTCGTCCCCATATTTATTTGTCTTTGCTTCCACAGTTAAAACAGAGGTAATGAGCCTGACCTACTTGATGAGGATCTCCTAGGAAATGAAAATCTGGTTTGTTAAGTGCTTTAGAGGTATGAGGTGCTAGATTCCTCCTGAACGGTTACCGGCAGGACTGAAGTGGCACGCGGCCTGTGTGGGATAAAGCCCAGGCTGAGTTAGAGCGGGTGCAGGCAGGAGGCTGGACTGTGTTGCCCTGGGTGATTTAATTATGCCATTAGGTGCTGTTAGAAGCTGTTGCTGCTTGTGAGTTTTATGTCTATGGTGAGAAGGGGCGGGAGTTTGGTTTCTGTGCAGTGGCAGGAAAGGGACTTGGGAGAGGAGGATGTGTTTCCCTGGAGGACTCCTCCCGGAGCTTTGATGTGAAGGCTTGATGAGAGGTTAGAAAGGGTAAGTGCCATGGAGTGGGGCCTGTGATTGGAGGGCTTGTGGTGAAGTGTCACATGGCTGCTGCTTGTCAAAGGGGGCACCCTCGGAGGTGTACCCAAGGGTTTCTCTTCATGGGGAAATCTGGAAAGGCTCCTTAGAGGAAAGGTGAACTCAGGAAGCCTATGACATTGCCTCACTTAACAAATGGGGCGGTGCCTGTGGGAAAACCAGGAACGGGATGCAGGCAATCTTCCTTTCTCACACCCTCTGCCCACTGCAGCTTCCTGGATGCTTGTGCCCATCACTTCCCAGAGCACACACAGCTTGTCAGCCCAGCGGGATGACTAAGTCCTCTGGGTGATTAGGGAGAGGGGCTGGGATGAAGGGGACTCTGATCACCTTGTCTTTGCTGCCCTCTTGTCCTCCCTCACACTCCCAAGTTTACCCTGCTCCCTGGTCTGTAGGATGGAAGGAGAGAAGGAATCATAGCAGGGTCTTTTAGGGCAGGCTCATGACCCATGGCTCACACAAATCCTTCTCACTGACCTGCCCTGAGAGGACCAGCCAATATTCTTCCTCCTCCTTATCATTCTTCTTTTCCTATCAGTGTCTGAATGTCCTCTCCCCAATCTCTGCCCATTAAAAGGAAATCCACTCACACTTCAAGACTCAACACCATTATCATCTTCTTCTGAGAAGGCTGCTTTCCTCCCCTCTTCCACCCTCTACCCAAGATTACTCTTTCCTTCTTCTATATTCCCACAAAACTTGGTTATGTACTTGGTGTGACACTTACCACATTCATTCACAGTGGGTTGCTTTGGAGAACTTGTTGAGGCCTCATTTAGGTTTGTACCTTAGTGCCTAGAACAGTGCCTGGTGCATAATACATCCCCAATGTCTGTCTGTTAAATTAATGAATAAATATATAAGTAAATAAATAAAGCAGAACATCATTTGTGCCCTCCCACAAATAGTGAAATATATTTATAAACTCCATAAATATTTAAAATTGCTTTCCTCTTTATGATTGTGGTACTTGATGAGAATACTATTCTAAATGTGTCTTATTAAATCTTTTTTGTGTGTATGGAATTATTATTTTTTTGGCCAAAGGTGATAAATTTTGAGAAAAGAAGCCATGCCTTTGAAAAAAGACGAAATTTTATAAAGCAATGCCTTGCCAAAGTGTTCAGCAAAATATTAGTTCCTGAGGGTAGTAATAGTTGTTAAGGAAAAAAAATGGTTTTGGGGCCAATGAAGTTCAGGAAAGCTGTGTTAATCAGGTCTCTCTACTGTGGAATATCTCAAAGCTTTGGTATGATATTGCTTAGGAATATTAGAGAGAGGGACACATAACAGTATACTTCTGCAACATGGGCCAGCACCTACAGTGCATAGCACACAGTAGGTTTTTGATATTTTGTTATTAATTTGTTATTGCTAGTCCAGTGCCTCGATCTAGGGCCCTGAGAGCAGGTGAGTGCTTGTGTCTGTGATAAGGGCCCCCTTCTTCACCTCCCTCTCCACATACACCACCTCTGCTCTGGAAAAATGAAGAGAAAAATTAAAGGGAATTAAAACATTACTTTACCTGCCACAGCAAGAATCAAACATCTCCAGTGGACTATGCAGCAAATGATTGTGGTTTTAGAAATAACCTGTCAGCCATAGTTGCTCTGCAGTAACCTTCCAGGACTGTTCTGTAAGTGCCAGTTCTATGCACAGTAATTACCAACTCTTTCCTTGGTAGATTCACTGGTGTCTAGGAGTAATTGCTAGGAGACTCACACTTTCAAATGTACAAGAGGCAAACAACCTTATATTTACCCCAGGGGTTATCGGGGTATTCAAACTGTGCTGGGTAAAGGATGCTATTGATCAGAGAAATATGGGAAAGAACTTGAATTTTCACCTTGATATTTTTCTCAATGGGTGAGAGCCTGGCTCTCTAGATTATGGTGCAAAGACCTAGAGGGGATAATTCTCTTCTTCTCAGGATCTCTTCCCTTCCTTGAGATTTGGAGCAGCAGTAAGCCTGACCTAACTATCGTTGGAACTCTTTGTTGTCTTCACGTTAACACTGGCCAATTGGAACCAGCGTCTAGGAAGAAGATGAAACAGAAGATTCAGACTGGTCCAGTTGTAATTCTGACCTGTGCTTTTGGTATTGGTCCTCTAGAGATCTCAGGGAACACGGAGGACATCCCTCTGGTGCGCTGGAGGCAGCAGTGGCTGGAGAATGGCACTTTGCTTTTTCACATCCATCACCAGGATGGCGCCCCGAGCCTCCCCGGACAAGACCCCACTGAGGAACCCCAGCATGAGTCAGCAGAAGAGGAGCTGAGGATCCTCCACATCTCAGTCATGGTAAGAGCAGCGTGGCCTTAGCCTCTCAGCCCGTAGCTTATGTTACCTTGACATTAAGAGTCTTGGTGCCATAGACATAGCTCTATAAGACCCACCAGCTCCATAATGATCATTGATTATGTTAATAAGTAACTTCCCCGTTTATGAGAAATGCCTCCACCTGTGGTATCAGTAAAAGTTGTGATTATTTCTACAGCACCATTATCCAACTGTTCTCTCTGGGAACATGCCTAGACGTGGAGTAACTTTTATAAACGAGAGGCATATCAGATAAGGGTAGTGGATTGTCTTAGAAAGGAATTATTCAACTAGTAAATCAGAATATCTTATAATAATTGCTCCATAAATGTTTGCTTAATGACTGAATTGCCAAGCTGCTTGCTGCTACCAAGCCCTCTTCTCTCTTCTCCCAGCCAGGAGAAAGTCAGCATCCTGGCTTTCTCTCCTCTTACAATAAAGAGCATGTCAATAGGTACTCCCTCTAGCCCAGCTCAGAAAGCTCATCATCAGCATCCTTTCTCTTATTCAGAAATTTGAGACCTCAAGAAAATTATATTTGTCCTAAAATTCTAGGAACTGTGTTTTAGAAAGTAAGTGCTATAGTGGCGGGCAAGGGTTTTGTTTGATGTTGTTCTGTTCACTGATGTATCCTCAGCACCTAGAATAATGTGTTCACTTAGTTAATGCTTAATCATTATTTGTGAAATGAATGAATTTCCAAGTAGGAATAGAAAATACCTGTTTCACTTGGTATTTTATGTGTTGGTATTGTGTTGGTAAAACCAACATCATCTGCTCCTAGGGTAGCCTGAGAGCAGGTTGAGACTTGACTGATTATCCGTAGGCCACAGGTATGGGAGGGCCTGGGCTATTTCACTGTTAGGAAACTCAACAGAGAACCAGTCTAGGTCTTGTCTAAACTTTAATTCATCTATTACTTTGGTACCATCACTACATGCTGTTTAATTTTGTGTATCAGATTGTTAGAAATTGGACATATTTTAGATATACAAAAATTTCCATTATCCAAATATTTGGCATGAAAAATCTCCCCATAAAATCTCTGATAAAATCTCAGAATGTAAGCCTTCCATTTCTTCCTCAACCAGTGTCCCCATGAATAACTGGCTTGATAGATTACCTGTATATACACAAACTACTCTATTTAAACTATATGATCAAGAAAAGAGTCCTTGAATCACGAATGGTAAACCTCAGTCTCCAGATATGCCGGAAGGCGAGCAGGAAAATGAGATTGCTGTGCCTCACATTTACAAATCAATTGAGGTTTTTTAACATGGGAGTTATAGTACTTGTACATCTTTAATCGAAGACCAGTGTTTCCTCTCTCAGGGAAGGCTGTCTTCTTCAATGTAGCTTGTAATTTCCAGAGAGTAGTGAGACCAGGCAGGTCAGCCACATCAGCCCTGGCATTGACTGGAGTGACAGATGTAGAGGCCACATTGTCTTCACATTTATGATATGGTCTGATTGACAAGAAGGGCACAATGGTGGAATTTCCACCAGCCACCAACATCCTCCCATCAGTGTGGGAAGCACTTATGGTCATGGGTGGATTTGTTTTGTTTTGTTTCTTTTGCTCCAAAACCATTTCAAAGAGCCAGTCATTGTCACACCAAAGAAACATTTAGGGTGAAGAAAAGTAGATAGAGATTCCCAAAGACTAATATTGGGCGTGGTTGTGTCTGACAGAAAGACCTTGAATACAAGAGGTTAAGACAGGCAGTGTGTCAGAGGTGTGTTTAACGGGGGCTGGGGGAATAGTGTGAGGATCCATGAAAAGACGGCTAAAGCTTGTCCTAGTTGCTACATCATATCTTCAGTGTACCAAGGATGCCACCTTCTCTCATCAGAATGAGGTGCTCCAATAAGTTCTCTAGAGAATGTGTGTGTGTGTATATGTGTGCGCAAGAGTGTTGTACATGTTTGTGCAGGTAGGTGGCAGTGAAGATAGAAATATGCTGATCAAGGATGCCAAAGGATTTGAGGAAATTGGTTGTGCTCTTAAAATAGAGCAACCTCTGTGAGAAGCCCTACATCACTAATGCTTTTTTTTTGGAGACCCCCTGGGCAGGGATTAATAGACAGTGGATGTTGAAATGGAGAGAGAACAAGAATCAGCCTTAAACCTATCTCTGAGATCTTTCCTTCATATGCTACTGGTCACCCTTGGCAGATTACCAATGATGATGTTCTGTTTTCCAAATAAAATGGAAGAGATGATTCCTTCAGCTTTATTTTAGTTTATTCTATGTTATTTTCAACTAGGCTGGAGGAGGCAGAGGTTAAAAGGGCATGGGCAAAGGCTGAGGGTGGACGAGTCTTGTGTTTATCTCTTACTTGGCCTCTTGGATGTGGATGGACCCACATCTCCATGAAAAATTCAGGAAGGCCTTTGATTTCTGCAGGAGAACAGGGATCCCAGGGTGAACTGAAGATATAAATACTCCCTCTCATCTTGTTAAAGACGGTTTGGGCAATGGAGTCTCCGGCAGCCCAGCTTGCCATCTCATCTTCCTCCATTCCCATTCCATGCCACACACCTGCACACCCTGCCTCTTCTTAACATTCTATTCTAGAAACCGTTTCAAAGTCTGAAGTTGCGTGTCTGCCCTCAGCTTAGAAATCAAGCCTGAGGATATCTTATTTGAAGATGTTGTTCCTAGAGTCTCTGATAGCTTCTTCTTAAGAGATTCAGGGATTGGTAGACTTTATTTGATACACTTTATACCACGTCCTCTGGAGGTAAAACAGGCAACCATTTGAGGCATCTGGAATGACAGCATTATAAATGTCAGAAGATAGCAAAATCCTTTGACTAGTAACAGTGTTGGGCAGCGAAATGCACTTAAATGAAATCTTGTTACCCAAACCCTGTTAGTTATGAAATAATAATAGTGGGGCTATTTTTCATTAACTATAACGATCAATATGGGTGCAATTTTCAGTTTGGATCCAAATAGCATAATTCAAAAGAAAGAAAAGTTAAAGTTATTATCGAAACATGAATACACCCAACCTTTTCTCTCTTGTTAAGAAAATGTATATCTAAAAGCTTAACTGATAATCCTAAATATTTCCAATATGTGCAGAGGGAATTAATGGTTCTGTGAAAACTTTAAAGTTTACATTTCTCTCATTTTGTGTTTACACTTTCCTCATCCATATTGCCTCAATGCTGGGACCACTGTTTATTTTTATATTTTGCATTTACTATGTTTTTGTTTTAAACACAAAATGTAAGTAATGAGAGAATGAGATGCAAAGAAAAACCTTTTTTGTATCCTTATGACATTGTATGGATGAGAATTTGTAAGTCCTCTCTTGCACAATGTAAATATACTATCAGCAAAATTGTGGTCTTGCAGAAAACCAATACCTCAGCTGGGAATTTAAACTTTGGCGATTTAAAACTTTGAAAGACCTTTTGCTTTTCTTATTTTTCAATCACACCCTAAAATTTTTGAATTATTTTTTCCAAAGAAGTTCTATTTCTTCCTTGCATAGAATAATTGGATTTCCCTCCTGAAATCTTATATTATTGCTTTGAGAGTCAAACAATGTTTTTTAACCTCCTGCATGATTCCAACTTGGCTAAAGAGATTTATTTCGAATTTTGCAAGATAATTGACATTTAAAACTACAAAAGTACACAAGGGTACTCTGGCAAACTCTTAAACAAGTGAAAGCAAAATCATCAAATGAAAATTGATGTGTGAGTTTAAACCAGAAGTCAAGGAATTCTTCAGTTATAAGTAAATTATTTACTCCATAGAAGATCAGGTTCTAATATAACTTTATATTAAAAATTCAGACTCTGTATGGGTTTAAATTTCCATATTGTACTTTTGCTAATCTGCCACATGATCTACATTTTTTCTTCTTAAAGTATGCAAAAGAATTTAATGGTGTGTAATAGAATTTTAATGTATTATCTATATATTTCATCTTTGTAATTAAAGATGGCAGTGTTAATAGACTTCCTATATGCATATAGGTTGGTTAAGTACATTTTTCACAGCAAGTAGCCTTTCAAAAATGCTTTGGTTTGATATATATATTTTGTAGTGATATCTCCCACTGGTAGATAATATCTTTCGTAGTTCAACCTTCTTAGGCACAATTCACAATTGTGGAAAAAGATAATCTTTGAGCATTTGTCTATCCCCCTGAGGATTTTGTGAATAAAACCCATCAATCAAGCCTGGGTCCTGCTCAGGACCACTAGCCCCAGCTATGTGGAGCCCGTTCGCCACTGTCTGCAGGTTCCTCTGGCCTTTGACCACTGGCTCCTCATGTGTCTGCAGGCTCCTTGTTTCTGAGAGCCCCAGGTGAGCCCAAGACACAGAGTTTTCTTTTGGGAGAAGCAGTGTAGAGGACAAGGCTAGAGGACAAAGAGGCCCCAGGTGCTATTGTAGAGTCCCAGAGTCCAGGAAATAGAAGGGGAGTTCCATTCTGGGGAAGTAACACTTGGGGCTGAGTTAGTACAAAGCCCACAGAACACACCCATAGGAGCTCTAGGATTGTGTTTCCAGGACTGCAGACAACTTGGTGCCAGAGGACCCATCTTCGCACTTACCTACTCTTACTCGAGCGTCCTTGCTCAAGTTCAGTTCAGCTGCCTAAGCATCATGTGTTACTTGGCTTGAAGCTGTCTTCATTTCACTCCTAAAGCTCTGCCTCTTGTAGAGCAGAGAAGAAGAGTTCCAAGTATGGTCATTGCTATGTGCCACCAGGATCATCCAGTACTTATTAAGTGTCCGTGGGAACAGGAGAGAGGGCTAGATGCTTCTTCTGTCAGCACCTTTTACCTTCAGCAAATCTCTTACAAAAATTCATTAGCAAATTCATTAATTTGTTAATCAGGGTCACTTTTGCATCTTTATTGTCAATTGATATTATTTGTTTAGTTCAACTGAGGATGCTCTAATTTATCAAGGCCTATCGCTCTGATCTTTAAGAAACAAATAGAGGAGTTT